TTCATGATTTCACAAGTTTATCCTCATATAATTTCCCGGAGCAAATATTACTGCAGTGGGAGATATCCAGGAGTGATAGCAGCTAGTATAGCCTCCGCTGGCTGGCTATCTATCTCCTTGTTATCCCACCACGGTGAGGCCAGGTGTTCAACACGGTGAAGCCAGATGTTCAACACGGTGAAGCCAGGTGTTCAACACGGTGAGGCCAGATGTTCAACACGGTGAGGCCAGGTGTTCAACACGGTGAAGCCAGATGTTCAACACGGAGAAGCCAGATGTTCAACACAGTGAAGCCAGATGTTCAACACGGTGAGGCCAGATGTTCAACACGGTGTGGCTAGATGTTCAACACGGTGAGGCCAGATGTTCAACACGGTGTGGCTAGATGTTCAACACGGTGTGGCTAGATGTTCAACACGATGAAGCCAGATGTTCAACACGATGAAGCCAGATGTTCAACACGGTGAAGTCAGATGCTCAACACAGTGAAGCCAGATGTTCAACACGGTGAAGCCAGATGTTCAACACGGTGAGGGCCAGATGTTCAACACGGAGAAGCCAGATGTTCAACACAGTGAAGCCAGATGTTCAACACGGTGAGGCCAGATGTTCAACACGGTGTGGCTAGATGTTCAACACAGTGAAGCCAGATGTTCAACACGGTGAAGTCAGATGTTCAACACAGTGAAGCCAGATGTGACACAGATATATCGCATCAATAAAGTTGTTTCGGTTTAAGTTAGTTGAAGGGTTATAACCAGGTTATGACCAGGTTGTAACGACTTAACTGGTTTACGTTAATGGCTTGACTGCCTCGCTGTTTGCTGATGACGCAAAGTTGTCAAGGAGTTCTTGATTATGCACCCCATACCCGTCCCGTGGACCTTTCCACCCCCCACCCCCAGGATGGGTATGGGGTGCATAATAAAGAACTGAAGGAGAATCAGAACGTGCTAAGCTACCCAACATCATGCCAGCCTTTGGAAACCTATTAAAAGATGCATTCAAGACGCCGTATACACCACAGGTCATAGCAATGTTTAGAGTATGTAGCACAGGCGTGGAGCCCCGATCTCACTATCGACAAAATAATGATAGATAAGTACAGAGGTTAACTACATAATAAACCCTTGTATTGCGGGAGGCTGAGCTACGAGAACAGTCTCAAAGAACTGAACTTAATGATATTGGTAAAAAAGAAAATAGAAATGCAGGGAACATGAGCCAGATATACAAAATACTCAGGATTATGGACGTAATAGATTAAAAAGAAAAGGTTTAGATGAAGCAGAAGCGTAACGGGAGAACATACACGCTTCTGAGCCATGGTGAGGCGAGGAAACACTTCAGTGTAAGGAGAGTGTAGCAATTCACCTGACACCGTCCCACCCACTATAGTCAAGACTATCCTCCAGCAGTTACCACCCCAGCCCCTCCACAACAACCTCAAGAGTCAGCACAATCATCCACACAGTTACAGCACACAATTCCTCAGCAGCCAATCCATACAATCCTCTACAGTCGAATGACTGTAGAGGATAGGTCTCTCAACCACCCTCCCGACAGTCACCTTTGAACTGTAGTGGTGAGGCGAGTGAGGACTTCACCCTAGTGAGGCTGCTGGGAGTATTACTGGCAAGTGTCATCCCTGTGTCTGTCACGGGTGTCACTCCTCCTCTTCCACCCTCTCCCTTTACCATCCCTCACACCCTCTCCCTTACTTCCCTTCACACACTCTCCCTTACTTCTTTTAACCCCCCTCCCATCCCCCCCTTTCATTACTCCCAGTCCTTCACCCTCTCACTCCTCTTATCCCTCTCTCTCTCTCCATCTCCTTATCTCTCCTCTCAACTCCCTCTCTCTTTCTCTACTCTAATCCCCCCCCCCCATCCCTTTGTCAGTAACCCAGTCAATCAGTAAACCAGTCAGCCATTCAGTAAACCAGCCAGTCATTAAGTATACTAGCCACTCGTTCGGTATACTAGTCAGTTATTCAGTAAACCAGTCGTACTTTACTTTTTTTATTTCGTGTTTGATCTCTTAACCTTTATTTTAAGTTTAGCTTCAGCTATTTTGGCCGCTTCTTATCCGTTAAAGGTGTGTGTGTGTGTGTGTGTGTGTGTGTGTGTGTGTGTGTGTGTGTGTGTGTGTGTGTGTGTGTGTGTGTGTGTGTGTGTGTGTGTGTGTGTGTGTGTGTGTGTGTGTGTGTGCGTGTGTGTGTGTGTGTGTGTGTCTGTGTGTGTCTGTGTGTGTCTGTGTGTGTGCGTGTGTGTGTCTGTGTGTGTGCGTGTGTGTGCGTGTGTGTGTGTGTGTGTGTGTGTGTGTGTGTGTGTGTGTGTGTGTGTGTGTGTGTGTGTGTGTGTGTGTGTGTGTGTGTGTGTGCTCACCAAGTTGTGCGTGCGGGGGTTGAGCTCCGGCTCTTTGGTCCCGCCTCTCAACCGTCAATCAACTGGTGTACAGATTCCTGAGCCTACTGGGCTCTATCATATCTACCTTTGAAACTGTGTTTGGAGTCAGCCTTCACCACATCACTTCCTAATGCATTCCACCTGTTATTAACTACTCTTGACACTGAAAAAGTTCTTTCTAACGTTCCTGTGGTTCATTTGTGTGTGTACAGTAATGGTGACTGTATCAAAGGTCAGTAATGGTGACTGTATCTGACTGTATCAAAGGTCTAATATTGAGGGCGAAAGGTTGACGTCCTCGGAGGGTCGAGGACGTCAACCTCCAAGCTGGCAACTCTTTGGAAAACAAAACAAAAACCGTCACTCTATTTTTTTATCAGAGTTTCGAGTCCGGCTGTCGGCTCGGGCCTCAACCCAACGCCTCCAGTGGAGAAATGGGATGGGAGTCGCTTCTCAGGGCAAAGTGAGTAGATCGAGACGCTATAACCTCCCTCTCAGACCACCTAGATCTAGGAATGTGTGGTGGTCTGAAAGCCTCTTAAGGTTCCAATAATAGTCTACCGGTAAATTGGAAATGAACCTTAGTCCTAAACAGGTAATATTTTATAAGTTATAACTGTATTGTATCATAAACCCAGGGTTTAAATGATACAAAAACAATATACAGTAAGGTCGTAGTCTGTGAAAAGACCTACATTTCTTGAGGCGTACGTTTTCTTTAATCTCAAATTTTAGGGAATAGTCAAACAGTTTTAGAATTGAATTTTTCACATGTTCGGGAATAATGCATCGTTTTAACCTGGCCTAACCACAACAACAGACCTAACCTAACCTAACCATGGATACGGAGTTGATATAATAGCACTAAGTACGTAGTGGTTTGAAAGTGATTACACCGAGGGTGCCGCCTCCCCGAGGTCTGGTTTGAGATAAAAATGCGCGAGAGAGAGAGAGAGAGAGAGAGAGAGAGAGAGAGAGAGAGAGAGAGAGAGAGAGAGAGAGAGAGAGAGAGAGAGAGAGAGAGAGAGAGAGAGAGTTGGTTTGAGACATTGGATATTTGATCAAAGAGAATTTAAAACATTTTCTTAAAGCTGTCTGTAGGTTTATACACATTTAAATGAAGATTTAGCAATTGTATGGAAAGAGAGAATATTGTACGATTAATAATTTATATTATTTTGATATAACCTCACTCTCTCCCTCCCCATCCACCCTCTCCCACCCTCTACCCCACCCCATCCACCCTCTCCCCCACCCCCATCCACCCTCTCCCTCGCCACACCCCTTTCTTTCTCTCTCTTCAAGTCACAATAATTGAAGAATTTCCTGCAGAGTGTGACTGTGGAATATTAAAGTCAGAATCTCTGCGTGTCTCTGGTCTTTTCCTCCCTCTCTCTCCCTCTCTCCCTCTTTCTCCCTCTTCCTTTCCCGCTCTCAAAATATATCTTTTTATATATATTTCTCTGTCTATTTCACTCCCTTCTTCTGAGTCTCTCATCTCAGACTTCCATGCTGCAAGAATGGAGAGGATTATTAGCTTTATCTTGCTGGGTTGACAATGGCGAGTATTCTCTCTCCTTCCTCTTCTCTTGCTCTATCTTCTTCTTCTTCTCTCTCTCTGCCTCCCTACTTCCAGCACTTCTCTCTTCTATATTTTCTATTCTTTCCACGTTCATCTTCCTCCTGTTTGCCGTCCCTCTTATTTGCCTGCCTGTCCCTAATCTCTCCGCTACGCCAACCTCACCTTCTCCACCAATCCCTAGTTCTATCCCTTAGTTGCGTCACTATCCTTCCTTTCTCTTTGGATGTGAACACAATCTGTGAGTCGGGAGTATTAGGGGGATTGTATGCCCCCCAAAATATGCATACATGTGAGAATAAAGCAAACAGCATACTAGGATACATTTCTAGAGGTGCTAGCAAACAAAACATGTAATAAAATCCTTCAGCTGAATCCTGTACTTGTTTAATCCCTCTTTTAGGGATTATAGGCCTCTATAATCCCTCTTTTAGGGATTATAGGATGTTATTGGCCCTCTTTAGGTTATGCAGTTAATGTTTGGACAGAAATTCACTAGAACGAGTACAGAGGATGATGATATAGATAATCTAACATATAGAGATTGGAAAATATTAATTACATTCTCTAGAAAATTGAACAGTAAGTGGAGACTTGTAAGTGGAGTCTTGTAAGTGGAGTCTTGTAAGTGGAGACTTGTAAGTGGAGACTTGTAAGTGGAGTCTTGTAAGTGGAGTCTTGTAAGTGGAGTCTTGTAAGTGGAGTCTTGTAAGTGGAGTCTTGTAAGTGGAGTCTTGTAAGTGGAGTCTTGTAAGTGGAGTCTTGTAAGTGGAGTCTTCTATCCACTTGCACAAGTGGGTGGAAGACTATAATGTGGGGATATTAGCAAGATGTTAAATATATAAATACAAAATACAAACAGAAACAGTGGATATATATATATATATATATATATATATATATATATATATATATATATATATATATATATATATATATATATATTATATATATATATATATATATATATATATATATATATATATAAGTTTAGATTCAGGAAAGTCCTGGGT